AAAATATCACTCTCACAGAAATTAGTATTTTCAAGTAATATTTTACTGGTAAATTAGTTTCAATTTTACAGCATATTTAAGTATAAGGAGCTTTACCTAGGTTTATGTTTTATATTTAAGTAGCCTCGTAATTCAAATTATTTAAGTCAACACATGAATCCATGAGAATGACTTAAGTTTTAAATACATATAACTGAAGTTTGAGAAACATGAAGTTAGATGACATATGTCAAATAGTCTGGCATGTCAGTATGCAATATGTGAAAGCAGAAAACCACCTACACAATGCCAATATAATGGCTGCATATTCCCTGGTACTGATGTATTACAACTAACCTGATCATTCTCATTTTTAAAATATTATTATAGCCGGGCGCAGTGGCTCAAGCCTGTAATCCCAGCACTTTGGGAGGCCGAGGCGGGTGGATCACAAGGTCGAGAGATCGAGACCATCCTGGTCAACATGGTGAAACCCTGTCTCTACTAAAAATACAAAAAACTAGCTGGGCGTGGTGGTGCGTGCCTGTAATCCCAGCTACTTAGGAGGCTGAGGCAGGAGAATTGCCTGAGCCCGGGAGGCGGAGGTTGCGGTGAGCCGAGATCGCGCCATTGCACTCCAGCCTGGGTAACGAGAGCGAAACTCCGTCTCAAAAAAAAAAAGAAAAAGAAAAAAGAAAGCAATCCTTTTATTTTTATCTATTTATTTATTTATTTATTTTTTTGAGATGGAGTTTCGCTCTTGTTACCCAGGCTGGAGTGCAATGGCGCGATCTCGGCTCACCGCAACCTCCGCCGCCTGGGTTCAGGCAATTCTCCTGCCTCAACCTCCTGAGTAGCTGGGATTACAGGCACGCGCCACCACGCCCAGCTAATTTTTTGTATTTTTAGTAGAGATGGGGTTTCACCATGTTGACCGGGATGGTCCAGATCTCTCGACCTCATGATCCACCCGCCTCAGCCTCCCAAAGTGCTGGGATTACAGGCTTGAGCCACCGTGTCCGGCTATTTATTTATTTTGAGATAGACTCTCGCTCTGTCACCCTGGCTGGAGTGCAGTGGCATGATCTCAGCTCACTGCAGCCTTCAACTCTCAAGTTCAAGCAATTCTCCTGCCTCAGCCTCCCAAGTATCTGGGACTACAAGTGCCCGTCACCACATCTGGCTAATTTTTGTATTTTTAGTGGAGATGGGGTTTCCCCATGTTGGCCAGGCTGGTCTTGAACTCCTGACCTCAAGTGATCCACCCACCTCAACCTCCCAAAGTGCTCGGATTACAGGCATGAGCCACCACACCCAGCCAAGAAAGCAATCCTTTCAGAAAGTCTATATTTTAGACACTATAATAATCATTTGCATTAATTATCATTTCATTCATTAATTCATTTATTTTTGAGACAGGGTCTCTCTGTGTCATCCAGGTTGCAGTGTAGTGGTACAGTCAACAGCTCACTGAAGTCTCAGGTTTAACTGATCCTCCTGCCCAACTTCCCCAGTAGCTGGGATTACAGGCACATACCATCAAGCCTGGCTATTTTTTTTTTTTTTTTTTTTTTCAGTAGTGATGATGAGGTCTCACTATGTTGCCCAGACTGGTCTCAAACTCCAGGCCTCATGTGATCTTCCCACCTGGGCCTCCCAAAGTATGAGAATTATAGGTGTGAACCACTGCACCTAGCCCCATTTCACCGTAAAATATAAGACTTTTGGTGGGGCATGGTGGCTCATGCCTGTAATCTCAGCACTTTGGGAGGCCAAGGCGGGCAGATTACCTGAAATCAGGAGTTTGAGACCAGCCTGGCCAACACAGTGAAACCCTGACTCTACCAAAAAATATAAAAGTTAGCCAGGCATGGTGGCATGTGTCTGTAGTTCCAGCTACTGGGGAGGCTGAGGCAGGAGAATTGATTGAACCTAAGAGGCAAGGTTGCAGTGAGCCAAGATCACACCACTGCACTCCAGCCTGGACAACAGAGTAAGACCCTCCCTCAATAATAAAAGTAAAAATATAAATAAATAAAATATAAGACTTTCTAAACCTAGTCTATGAGTACTACTATAACTTTGTCTTTCTAAAAATAAATCCTAATAGAATTCTAGAAAAGTACACAGCAACTCAAAATATTCTCTAACAGGCACTTTCTGATGTAACAAAAAATCATCTTGTCCTCCTAGTTGCCAGACTGGATTTTCTAATTTCATTCTAGACTAAAAGGAACCAAAGCTACAATGAGAAATGGCTATTTACAAATCTTCTGCAGCGAACGTGCAAACCTACTCACCTTATTGGCCCAGAAAACAAGGAAGTTTTCAAAAATTAACAAAGCTAGGCCGGGCGCGGTGGCTCAAGCCTGTAATCCCAGCACTTTGGGAGGCCGAGGCGGGTGGATCACGAGGTCGAGAGATAGAGACCATCCTGGTCAACATGGTGAAACCCCATCTCTACTAAAAATACAAAAAATTAGCTGGGCATGGCGGCACGTGCCTGTAATCCCAGCTACTCAGGAGGCTGAGGCAGGAGAATTGCCTGAACCCAGGAGGCGGAGGTTGCGGTGAGCCGAGATCGCGCCATTGCACTCCAGCCTGGGTAACAAGAGCGAAACTCCGTCTCAAAAAAAAAAAAAAAAAAAAAAAGTTGTGTCAAAAGAACTCAGGAGCCAGCCTGACAGATACTTCTATTAACCAAAGTTGTGACAATTTGAGCAACAAAAGAACATTGATCATAATGGACTGAATCAATGAAATCAATTAAAATGAATCACTGAATCAATAAAAATCCATAAGTACAGAAAGATACTAGAAAAGAGAACACAAGAAAAAAAGGTTTTTGTCACTATCTGAGAAAGCTATTAAACTCTTATTTACAAATAGGTAAACTGAAATTAAGCATTTGTCCTCACTTTATAATAGTGACTAAATTTGAACGTAACCAGAAAGCCCTGGTTAATGAGGAAAACTTCTGCTTTTGAAGAATGAAGAACGTAGCTAATGAAAATAGAAAAATTTAATTTTATAAACCCTAATAAAATTACTACTTTAAGGCAAAGGTTATAAACTGGTGTTACAACTGTTGGGTAAATGCTTAATAGTAAAAAAGACATTCATTTGGTGCTAAAAAACACCACAAAGATTATTCTCCAGTTATTAGAGAAAAACGTAACTATTCAATGGAGAGATCAGACTGCCATTCTCCCAAATCAGTAGTCAATCTCAGCTTCACTAGGGGCTAAGCAATTAAATATAACTTCTATGGTCACGGAACATGAAAAACATATAATCTACCATATATTTCAACCAGAATTGTTTATCTTGAACCCAACAAGCCTCTACATATAAATTCCAGATTACAGAAACAAAGGAGATAAAGGTAAATGCTAAATGGCACTACAGGATGCAACAAGACTTAGTCTCTCCAATAAGCCATTACCACAGAAACGGGGACTAGGTTAGATTCACAGAGTATTAACGAACCTAACAACCAGATGCACTATGTAGTCCTGGATTAAACCATGGTTTGGATAAATCCACTATATAGAGTATTTTGGGCCAGGCGCGGTGGCTCATGCCTGTAATCCCAACACTTTGGGAGGTCGAGGTGGTCGGATGATGAGGTCAGGAGATCAAGACCATCCTGGCTAACACGGTGAAACCCCATCTTTACTAAAAATACAAAAAATTAGACAGGCCTGGTGGCACGTGCCTGTAGTCCCAGTTACTCGGGAGGCTAAGACGGTAGAGTTATTTGATCCTAGGAGGTAGAGGTCACAGTGAGTTGAGATTGCACTACTGTACTACAGCCAGGGCAACAGAGCAAGATTCCTTCTCAAAACAAAACAAAACAAAACATATATATATATATATATATATACATATATATATATATATACATATATACACGTATATATGTATATATATATATATATAGGGGTCAACCAGGAACACCAAAAACTGGAAAAAGGTTTGGGTATTAGATAAGATAAAAAGTTCCTGAGGCCGGGCGCGGTGGCTCAAGCCTGTAATCCCAGCACTTTGGGAGGCCGAGGCGGGTGGATCACGAGGTCAAGAGATCGAGACCATCCTGGTCAACATGGTGAAACCCCATCTCTACTAAAAATACAAAAAATTAGCTGGGCATGGTGGCGCATGCCTGTAATCCCAGCTACTCAGGAGGCTGAGGCAGGAGAATTGCCTGAACCCAGGAGGCAGAGGTTGCGGTGAGCCGAGATCGTGCCATTGCACTCCAGCCTGGATAACAAGAGTGAAACTCTGCCTCACAAAAAAAAAAAAAAAAAAAAAGTTACTGAAATGGAAAGGCAGTGATTAATACAGAAAGCAGCATAAAAAAACAGTATTGTAAATATATCTGATTTTGGTAAAAAATACATATACAAATACATAGATACATACACACACACATTCACCTAGAACAAGACCCAAAATTCAGATTCTAAGGATTAAGATGAATACAGAAAAGATCCAAAAAAAAATGCTAGTATATTATGTCTCAATTTTTGCATGTAGTGGCATAAAACAACACAAATTTATTATCTGACAAAGGCCAGCAGATTATGGCTGGATGCTCTGCTCAGTATCCTTAAGCTAAAATCAAGGCATCGGCCAGGGCTACAGTTTCCATCAGGGGCTTGTAGTCCTCTTACAATCTCATTGACTATTAGCAGAATTCATTTCCTCCTTGCTTCATGTCTGCAATGGTGCGGAAAATCCTTCTCATACTTCATATCTCTCTGACCTCTCCTTCTACACAGGCTGGAGAAAGCACTTTGCTTTTAAGGGCTCACGTCGTAAGACTAGGCCCACAGGGTAATCTTTCCCATCTGTCAAATGTGCTAGGTAACATATCATAATCATGGGAATGACATCTCATCATATTGATAGGTTCTGGAGATTAGAGTGTGGAATCTTGGGGAGGGGAGGCATTTTCAGAATTCTGACTACTACAGCCACAAAAAGTTTTTAAAAATCAATTAAAACAGCTTTCATACCTGTTAATAATGAACCATGCAACAGTAAGCATTCCTGCTAGCCATGTTCCACTCATAAGCCAACTTGTAACAAATAAAGCAGTAACATATATTCCTTGCAATCCAAAAACAATGCCAATATAGAAATACACTGGCTCAATAATCTCCTATGTGAAAAAAACAGAAAAAGAACAATATAGTAAGATGGCAATAAATCATCTGAGGATTCATGAATACATGAGAAAATAAATATTAGGGTCAAAAGAAAAATACATACATTGCTACCAGTGGCTTGATATAAAATGCTAGCAATAAGTTCCGGATATAGAGACATTTGCTGCACTGCATTTATAGTCTTCAGAGATACAGTTTTGTTATTGTGTGTCAGTTCATAAACACCTAAAGACAGAAAGATTTTTCTCCAGATTATTTACTCTGCTTTACAATAATTAAACAAACATATTCATTACTCATTAAATATTTAATATTGTTATTGGCCGGGCACGGTTGCTCAAGCCTATAATCCTAGCAGTTTGGGAGGCTGAGGTGGGTGGATCACCTGAAGCCAGGAGTTCAAGATCAGCCTGGCCATCATGGTGAAACCCCATCTTAAAAAAACAAATTAAAAAAAAAAAAAAAATATATATATATATATATATATATATATAGAGAGAGAGAGAGAGAGAGAGAGAGAGAGTTATCAAAAAGATTCCAAATAGAATACCCTATGCTGCATTTTTCCAATTTTTAAAAATTTAGCACAATAAAAAGAAATATCTATATTCTGAGACAAATCCCCATATTGAAATGTCCCAGTATAGTAAAACAGAGGTTACTAGAGGCTGAGAAGAGTAGAGGGGAGGGGAGGATAGGGAGAGTTTGGTGAATAGATACAAAATTACAGCTAGATAGGAAGAATAACTTCTAGTGTTCTGTAGTACTATAGAATCAATATGGTTAACAACAATTTAGTGTATCTTTTCAAAAAGCTGAGAGTTGATTTTGGATGCTCATAACACAAAGAAGTGATATATGTCCATGTGATGGATATGCTAACTACCATGATTTGATCATTACACATTGTGTACAATATCAAAACATCACTTCTCATAAATATGTACAATTATTACATGTCAAGTAAAAATGAAAGGAGGAAGAAAGGTTCTAATAGAGAAGAACAATGTTTTATTTAAGAAAAATATTGTTATTAGGGCTGGGCACTGTGGCTCACGCCTAAAATCCTAGCACTTTGGGAGGCCAAGGCGGGTGGATCATGAGGTCAAGAGATTGAGACCAGCCTGGCCAACATGGTGAAACCCCGTCTCTACTAAGAATACAAAAATTAGCCAGGCATGGTAGTATGTACCTGTAATCCCAGCTTCTCAGGAGGCTGAGGCAGGAGAATTGCTTGAACCCAGGAGGCGGAGGTTGCAGTGAGCCGAGATCACGCCACTGCACTCCAGCCTGGGCAACAGAGCAGGACTCCGTCTCGGAAAAAAAACAAAAAAAAGAAAAATATTGTTATTAAAAATATAACTGTGATTATCATACCTCTTTCAAATGAAGGTGCCTTTAACATATCTTTATAATAGGAGTAATAAATGGCACTGTCACCCTGAAATGTGATTTCCCGTTCAAGCTCCTAAAAGAAAATGAAATGATTATTTAAAATTTAAGTTTTTTTGTTTTTTAAGAGATGGAGTCGCTCTCTGTTACCTAGGCTGGAGTGCAGAGGCACAATCAAGACTCACTGGAACTTCAAATGATCCTCCCACCTCAGCCTACCCAATAGCTAGGACCATAGGTACATAAAGGGCGTATTTTTGTGTTTTTTTTGTTTTTTGTTTTTTTTGAGACAGAGTTTCGCTCTTATTACCCAGGCTGGAGTGCAATGGCATGATCTCGGCTCACTGCAACCTCCGCCTCCTGGGATCAGGCAATTCTCCTGCCTCAGCCTCCTGAGTAGCTGGGATTACAGGCACATGCCACCATGCCCAGCTAATTTTTTTTGTATTTTTAGTAGAGATGGGGTTTCACCATGTTGACCAGGATGGTCTCGATCTCCTGACCTCGTGATCCACCCGCCTCGGCCTCCCAAAGTGCTGGGATTACAGGCGTGAGCCACCGCGCCTGGCTTATTTTTGTTTTAATGAAGGGAGTCTCAACGTTGCCCAGGCTGGATTATTTAAAGTTTTAAATTTTGGCCTCTGGCCCAGTGTGGTGGCTCACACCTGTAATTCCAGCACTTTGGGAGGCCATGGCGGGCAAAACACTTTAGGTCAGGAGTTTGAGACCAGCCTGGTCAACATGGTGAAACCCTGTCTCTACTAAAAATAACAAAATTAGCCAGGCATGATGGTGCACGCCTATAATCCCAGCTACTCGGGAGGCTGGAGAATCGCTTGAACCTGGGAGCCAGAGGTTGCAGTGAGCCCAGATCGCACCACTGAACTCTAGCCTGGGCCACAAAGTGAGACTCTGTCTCAAAAAATAATAATAAAATAAATTTCAGCCTCAAACTTCTGTTTCCCTCCTCACTTTCTACATTAACATGTTAATAATATTTATCCTTTTATTCAAAGACATGTTTGAATTTTCCTTAATTACTAGTGGCCCCATTAATGAGGAACTTAATTTTTTTAAGTAATCTGGCAATAATTTTAATGAAACACTTGAGGCTTAAAATGAATTGTAAATCACAAGCCATCAAATTTAAAGAAAATCTAGAAGGAAAACCTGAAGACATGCCCTAAGAATAGCAAGAATAGTGAAACGGGCAATAACAAATGACAGTTGAAGTGTTAGAAATCCATAAAAAGACAAGTTTAAGGAGAAAGTCATATTTTCTATTACTGTTCCACATCTCTATGTATCCAGAACATCAAGTCTTTAGTCCACTGCAAGAGCAGCAGACACTTAATCAGTGCTCTTCAAATGAACTTCCAGAGGTACAGCAAATCTTAAAATTCCTACAATCAGGCTAATTAGAACTAAGAATATAATAGTAAAAATAACATTAGGAGGCCTTGTCCTTTTTAGACTGAATCAAAATTTTATGAATCTATAATCTTTTAAAATCAAATGAATTATTTTTATGCATATGTATCAAGTAACACAAAAACAAAATATATTATTAGAGTACTTTCCACAAAGTTTTGCATAATATGTATTAAGTAATACAAAAACAAAATATATTATCAGTTAGAGCAATTTTCACAAAGTTTGATCAATAGAACTTCCTAAAATGTTAATAGATGTTAACAAAAAAGAATTCTTCGGTTAAATAAGTTTTGAGAAAGACTGGATGAAGCAAAGTTAAATTATAAGACCTTTCAGAGTTTCAGTATATCTTATACATTGTGAATCTCCAAGAGGAAGGCTTTCCTGATCTATTTTTCCCCACCTTTAGCTTGCTATGATCTGAATGTATATGTCCCCTAAGAAGATATTTGGAAGTGGGATATCTGGGAGGTGATTAGGGTCATGAGGGCAGTTCCCTTGTGAATGGGATTAATGTCCTTATAAAAGAGGCTCCACAGAGATCACTTGCTCCTTCCGCCATGTGAGGATACAGCAAGATGATCTCTGCTATAAACCAGGAAGCAAGCCCTCACCAGATACCAAATCTGCCCATGCCTTGATCTTGGACTTCTCACTCTCCAGAACTGTGAGAAATAAATTTCTGTTGTTTATAAGCCACTCAGCTTATGGTACCTGGTTATAGCAGTCTGAATTAACTAAGAGCTTACTGACCTAAATAAATTACTTAAAATTTTTTTTTATGAATGCAAACATTTGTTTTTAACATTTCAAAGAGCCGGGCGCGGTGGCTCAAGCCTGTAATCCCAGCACTTTGGGAGGCTGAGGCGGGTGGATCACGAGGTCAAGAGATCGAGACCATCCTGGTCAACATGGTGAAACCCCGTCTCTACTAAAAATACAAAAAATTAGCTGGGCATGGTGGTGCGTGCCTGTAATCCCAGCTACTCAGGAGGCTGAGGCAGGAGAATTGCCTGAACCCAGGAGGCGGAGGTTGCGGTGAGCCAAGATCGCGCCATTGCACTCCAGCCTGGGTAACAAGAGCGAAACTCCGTCTCAAAAAAAAAAAAAACATTTCAAAGATGTAAACTCTCAACCAGCGCTTCTCAAATCTACCAGGTATATGAAACATCTGGAGACCTTATTAAAATGTAGATTCTGATTTTAAAGTGGGGTCTGAGAGTCTATGATTCTGAAAAGGCTCTCAGGTTCTGCCAATGCTCCTGGCCCATATACAAAGCTTTGTAAAACAAAGTTCTTGATGAAGGCCTTCCAATTTTCAAAGCTTTGATTATTCTCAGTTCTGCCTACAACATAATCACCTGAAAGTATGTATCCACATATTGATCATAGCCTGTCCCTCTGCCCCTACCTAAGAATCTAAGAGGGAGCTTACCTTTGAAAGCTCCTTAGATGATTCTATCATACATCCATTGTTGAGACCTGCAGTTAGTCAATCTGCATAACATTTTCAGGGAAATAATATATGCTACAGTAATAGCTAAATCAAGACAGACATAGTAATTACTCAGTTAAATGTCTTGATGGCATTAATTAAATGAGTTTAAAACAGTCAGCTTTACTAAAAAATAAGAACAACAAAAAACTCAGTGTAGGCTCACAAATTTAAAAACCCTACAAAGCCAAGAGGACTTTGCAAACAAACTTGTTCCAACGTCAAATTAGGAAATTATGAATACAACTATAGTGACTGAAGAATCTGGAAATATAAATGATTTAAAATCAAACACTAAACACAGTAATATGAGGCAACATTTTAATTAATACTACATGATGCCTGCTAATCACTTTCAACCCCCTCAAAAACATTCAAATCATGTGACCTAAAAATTAAAAGATTTAAATACTGAGACTTCCACAGATTGTTTCTGAAATGTGAACTACCTACCAAAACTATGAAAAGGCTGACTAAACTCCATAAAATGTCACTGTCATCAAAAGTCCCTGATAAATTAATTGCACAAAGGGGAGCATCCTCATAGTTTTATTCTATGAAATATACTATGAAGTATTTTAAGGTTGATACTGTAACTATAATCTCGAAAGAGCATTTTGTTTCTAATAGCCATAAGTAAGACAGCACTTGTCATACTTATCATACATATATTCTGGTTCCCTGGGAAAATAACTTTCATATGCTCAAAATTCATTCTTCTTACCTGCCTGTTGGAAAACCAGAATTTCCGTTCATGGTATGCTGATAAGTAGAGAGCATACATCATACCACTAGTAACTGCTGCAAGACAGCCAATGAAAATCTTTGCAAAGCGTTGAAATAATACATCTGAAAAAAACATATTAAAAGTAATCAAAAGGTAGTATGTACCCTTGATATGATGTAATTAAAAATGGCATTCTACCTCTATGGTCTTTGTCCCCAAAACCCACAACTCAAGTCTAATTGTGAGAAAAGCGTCAGATAAATTCCAATAGAGGGGCATCCTACAAATATATCTTTCAAACTGTGAAGGTCATCAAAAACAAGAGCTTGAGAAAGTATCAAAGGCAAGAGGAGCTTAACAGAGATGACAACTAAGTGTCATGTGGTATCTTGGATGGGATCCTAGGACAGAAAAAAGACATTAGGGGCCAGGCACAGGGACACTTTGGGAGGCCAAGGCAGGTGGATCACTTGAGGTAGGAGTTTGAGACCAGGCTGGCCAACATGGTAAAACTAAAATACAAAAATGAGCTGGGTGTGGTGGCACACACCTGTAATCCCAGCTACTAGGGAGGCTGAGGCACTTGAACCTGGGAGGTGGAGGTTGAAGTAAGCCGAGATAATACCACTGCACTCCAGCCTGGGGACAGAGTAAGATTCCATCTCAAAAAAAAAAAAAAAAAAGGACATTAGGTGAAAACTAAGGAAATCTGAATATCTGAATAACATGATCTTAAGTTAATAATGCATCAATATAGCTTCATTAATTGTTTAACAAATGTACCACACTAATGTAAAATGTTAATAAGGGAAACACCATGTGTGGGAGAAGGTAATACAGGAACTCTGAATATCTGCTCAACTCTTCTGCAAATCTAAAATTATTTTAAAAATTAAAGTCTATATTCTGCAGGAGGAAAAAGTTCTAAGATCTGTGTCACAACATAAATATACTTAATACAGTACACTTAAAAATGGTTAGGATGAGGCTAAGTGTGGTGGCTCTTGCCTATAACCCCAGCACTTCCGGAGGCCGGCAGACTGCTTGAGCTCATAAGTTCGAAACCAGACTGGGTAACACAGTAAAATCATGTCTCATCAAAAAATACAAAAAATTAGCCAGTGTGGTGGTAGGTGCCTGTAATCCCAGCTACTTGAGAGGCTGAAGGAAGAGAATTGCTTTAGCTCAGGAGGCAGAGGTTGCAGTGAGCCAAGATCGCACCCCTGCACTCCATCCTGGGCAACACAGCCAGACCTTGTCTTGAAAAAAAAAAATGTTAGAGAGGGAGTGCTGGTAAAGAAATAAAAATTTTAAAAAATTAAAATGTTAAGATGGTGCAAAAATTAGTCTATTAATATTAAACCATAATCAAAAGGAATGTATATCCCAATACCTAAAAAAAGTACATGTTCATTCAGAAATTTTTTTTCTTTCATGATTTTTTTTTCCTTTATTGAAGACTAACTTACTATAAACCTAAAGCCATTTAAAATGTACAACTCGGCCGGGCGCGGTGGCTCAAGCCTGTAATCCCAGCACTTTGGGAGGCCGAGGCGGGTGGATCACAAGGTCAAGAGATCGAGATCATCCTGGTCAATATGGTGAAACCCCGTCTCTACTAAAAATACAAAAGATTAGCTGGGCACGGTGGCGCGTGCCTGTAATCCCAGCTCCTCGGGAGGCAGAGGCAGGAGAATTGCCTGAACCCAGGAGGCGGAGGTTGCGGTGAGCTGAGATCGCGCCATTGCACTCCAGCCTGGGTAACAAGAGTGAAACTCCGTCTCAAAAAATAAAAAATAAAAAATAAAAAATAAAAAAAAAAATAGGCCGGGCACAATGGCTCAAGCCTGTAATCCCAGCACTTTGGGAGGCCGAGGCGGGTGGATCACGAAGTCAAGAGATTGAGACCATCCTGGTCAACACGGTGAAACCCCGTCTCTACTAAAAAATACAAAATATTAGCTGGGCATGGTGGCCTGTGCCTGTAATCCCAGCTGCTCAGGAGGCTGAGGCAGGAGAATTGCCTGAACCCAGGAGGCGGAGGTTGAGGTGAGCCGAGATCGCGCCATTGCACTCCAGCCTGGGTAACAAGAGCGAAACTCCATCTCAAAAAAATAAATAAATAAAAATAAATAAATAAATAAATGTACAACTCAATAAATTTTGATTATTATGTTTTAAAAGATCACATACAATTGTTACATATGGAAACAAACTACTTCTTTTTTAAATTTTATTTTATTTTTGTAGAGACAGGCTTTTTGCTATGCTGCCCAGGCTGGTCTTGAACCCCTGGTCTCAAGTGATCTTTCCACTTTAGCCTCCTAAATTGCTGAGATTACAGGCATGAGCCACTGCATCCAGACTGTAACAACTTTTTTTTTTTTTTTAATTTGAGACGGAGTTTCATTCTTTTTTTTTTTCTTTTTGAGATGGAGTTTCGCTCTTGTTACCCAGGCTGGAGTGCAATGGCACGATCTCGGCTCACCGCAACCTCCACCTCCTGGGTTCAGGCAATTCTCCTGCCTCAGCCTCCTGAGTAGCTGGGATTACAGGCACACGCCACCAGGCCCAGCTAATGTTTTGTATTTTTAGTAGAGACAGGGTTTCACCATGTTGACCAGGATGGTCTCAATATCTTGACCTCGTGATCCACCCGCCTCAGTCTCCCAAGGTGCTGGGATTACAGGCTTGAGCCACCGTGCCTGGCTTGTAACTACTTCTTAATGAAATAACATAAGACACATTTGGATTTTATATACACAAGGTGAGTCAGTCCTGCTACAGGTATTGAATATAATAAGCATAATAAATAAAATAAGGGACTAAAGGCTTAAAACCCAGTGTTCTGTTACTGAATGACAATAAAAATCAACTTTTTTTTTTTTTAACTGAACTAAAATTTTGGTTATTTTCATAACATTTTATAATACATGATAGTTTGTATAGCATGTTGCAATTGTGTTGTTATGCAAACTAGTATTAAATGGAGTAACTAATTGAATATCAATAAATTAGTAAGAATTATATTCTGCCGGGCGCAGTGGCTCAAGCCTGTAATCCCAGCACTTTGGGAGGCCGAGGCGGGTGGATCACGAGGTCAAGAGATCGAGACCATCCTGGTCAACATGGTGAAACCCCATCTCTACTAAAAATACAAAAAAATTAGCTGGGCATGGTGGTGCGTGCCTGTAATCCCAGCTACTCAGGAAGCTGAGGCAGGAGAATTGCCTGAACCCAGGAGGCGGAGGCTGCGGTGAGCCGAGATCGTGCCATTGCACTCCAGCCTGGGTAACAAGAGTGAAATTCTGTCTCAAAAAAAAAGAAAAAAAAAAAAAAAGAATTATATTCTAGGCCGGACGCAGTGGCTCATGCCTATAATCCCAGCACTTTGGGACGCCGAGGCTGGTGGATCATAAGGTCAAGAGATCGAGACCATCCTGGTCAACATGGTGAAACCCCGTCTCTACTAAAAATACAAAAAACTAGCTGGGCGTGGTGGCGCATGCCTGTAATCCCAGCTACTCAGGAGGCTGAGGCAGGAGAATTGCCTGAGCCCAGGAGGCGGAGGTTGCGGTGAGCCGAGATCGCGCCATTGCACTCCAGCCTGGGTAACAAGAGCGAAACTCCGTCTCAAAAAAAAAAAAAAAAAAAAAAAAAAAGAGATCGAGACCATCTTGGTCAACAAGGTGAAACCCCATCTCTACTAAAAATACAAAAATTAGCTGGGCGTGGTGGTGCACGCCTGTAGTCCCAGCTACTTGAGAGGCTGAGGCAGGAATTGCTTGAACCCAGGAGACGGAGGTTGCGGTGAGCCAAGATTGTGCCATTGCACTCCAGTCTGGGTAACGACAGCGAAACTCCGTCTCAAAAAAAAGAAAAAAAGTATATTCTAAATGTTTGAAAAACTATATGCAATAACTCCAATATTAGCATCAATATTATAGAAGTGTGGGGTTTGTTTTGAGACGGAGTTTTGCTCTTGTTGCCCAGGCTAGAGCACAATCATGTAATCTTGGCTCACAGCAACCTCCACCTCCCAGGTTCAAGCAATTCTGTCTCAGCCTCCCAAGTAGCTGGGATTACAGGCATGTACAACCATACCTGGTTAATTTTGTATTTTTAGTAGAGATGGGCCTGGCCAAGATGACCACAGGTGTTCCGTCCCCCTTGACATCCCAAAGGCATTGGTTGCAGGGAGCTGAGGTCGTGCCACTGCACTCCAGCCTGGGTAACAGAGCAAGGCTCTGTATAAAAAAAAAAAAAAAAAATACATACATACATACAAACGGAAATAAATCATAGCTGTAAATACAACTACATTCTGAAATTTGTGAGCCCTTCTAGCTAATAATCAAACAAGGGGGTGGTCTTAGGAACCCCTGACACAAAACAGATAACCTGTCTTTTTAGTTCATAGATCTCTGGATTAGCATGAGTCATAGCTGGCCCTGATGTAGATAAGCCCTTGGGATCAAGATTAAGGCTGTGACTACATAAAGGCAGAGTCTTACTTAGGGTGTGGGCAGAAGTAAATGTATTTTGTCTGAGAGAGGGAAATATTTATGATCACAAGGACAGGGTATGGTAAACTATATTATTATTCACAACTATTTTCTCCTTCCCTGTAAAAAGGTTATACATCTCTGCCCATTACCATGTGACCTGGAACACTTCCCTATAGTCAAAGCATACTTCTCACCCCATCATCTGGATTGACCATATAACTTGCCTGGGCCAACAGAAGGTGCATACAAGTGACAGTGTTTTCCAGGTCAGCAGAACCTTTAAGAGGTATTGCATGATTCTGCCGGTTCTCTTCCTGTGTCACAGAAATATGTTTCCCAAATAGGGGTTGTTCCTTCACAACACATAAAACTACGACAGCCAAATTGGAGACACAACATGTAATATTAGAAATAAATGTTTGTCAGGCCAGGCATGGTGGCTGACGCCTATAATCCAAGCACTTTGGAGGCCAAGGTAGGTGGATCACCTGAGGTCGGGAGTTCAAGACCAGCCTGGCCAACATGGTGAAACCCTGACTTAAAAAAAAAAATAGGCCGGGCGTGGTGGCTCAAGCCTGTAATCCCAGCACTGTGGGAGGCCAAGACGGGTGGATCATGAGGTCAAGAGATCGAGACCATCCTGGTCAACATGGTAAAACCTCGTCTCTACTAAAAATACAAAAAATTAGCTGGGCATGGTGGCGCATGCCTATAATCCCAGCTACTCAGGAGGCTGAGGCAGGAGAATTGCCTGAACCCAGGAGGCGGAGGTTGCAGCGAGCCGAGATCGCACCATTGCACTCCAGCCTGGGTAACAAGAGCAAAACTCCTTCTCAATAAATAAATAAATAAAATTAAAAATAAATTTAAAATTTTTAAAAATTAGAAATAAATAAATAAATAAATTTTTGTCATAAGCCAGTGAGATTTGGGGGTTGTCCTCCAGCAAAACGTAGTGAAACCTGATCATATACTTAATCTCAAAATATGTATATTTAAAATATTAATATATACTTTCTATCATAATTATTTTTGTAGTAGCACAAAAACTCCAAGTCTATCCAACTTACGTTTTGGAGCTCTTTCAGGAATTGGAATGTCATTGATTTCCTCTTCTTTGGCAGATTCCTTTTCTGATGACTTTGGCTTTTTTCTTTGGCGCAGCTCTACAGGTGGTCCTTAAAATATTTAAGACATTATTGCAATGTGTGTATAAAACTGTTCTAATTTGTATGCTGAGTCAATTAACCTTTATTATTCTGAAGCAAAAGTACCACTGAGACCTATTAGTACTAAAGACAACCTTGTTAAAACATAATTATTTTGGCACCCCTGCAAAATTTTCTTTTGTCTAAAAAAAAGACAATTTAGGTTCCACCCCCCACCATCTATGTTTTGACAATCCTTTTAGTAAACCAATGAGCTCTTCTCCCGAGATGATGCTATTTTCCAATTTGGGGGTCAAGGTGTTATTTAGCTCATATTTATAGTTACCTGAAAGTATCAAATGCATAATTGACGGTTTAACTATTTTTTAAAAATCAAAACATAGAATACATTCATCAAAAACTATACTTCTTTTGTTAAATAATCATGAAAGTTCTGCAAATTTCAGTGCTGTGGTATCATCAGCATTGTATAATCTTACAGATTTAAGTATTAGAAAAAAGGCGAGCCGGGCGCGGTGGCTCAAGCCTGTAATCCCAGCACTTTGGGAGGCCGAGGCGGGTGGATCACGAGGTCAAGAGATCGAGAACATCCTGGTCAACATGGTGAAACCCCGTCTCTACTAAAAATACAAAAAAATTAGCTGGGCATGGTGGCACGTGCCTGTAATCCCAGCTACTCAGGAGGCTGAGGCAGGAGAATTGCCTGAACCCAGGAGGCGGAGTTTGCGGTGAGCCGAGATCGCGCCATTGCACTCCAGCCTGGGTAACAAGAGCGAAACTCCGTCTCAAAAAAAAAAAAAAAAGAAAAAAGGCTGAGCCTATAAAGATATATATATGAGAAGCTCTCAGAATAATTTCCTAGGATTAGACTATCTGTCTCTTCTAGCTCCAATTTTAGAAAATGTGATATGTGATGCAGAAGTTATCTCCAAACTAGTAAACTATACTCTAAGTTAAACAGGAATGTACTATGTACAATTTATACTTTTTCTTCCTAGAATTAATCATCTTGTGGGACAGATTACTGTAAGTAGAGAGTGTTCCTCCCAAGTTATAAAGTGGTACAATAATTTATCTTTCTCGGCCGGGCGCGGTGGCTCAAGCCTGTAATCCCAGCACTTTGGGAGGCCGAGGCAGGTGGATCACGAGGTCGAGAGATCGAGACCATCCTGGTCAACATGGTGAAACCCCGTCTCTACTAAAAATACAAAAAATTAGCTGGGCATGGTGGCACGTGCCTGTAATCTCAGCTACTCAGGAGGCTGAGGCAGGAGAATTGCCTGAACCCAGGAGGCGGAGGTTGCAGGTGAGCCGAGATCGCGCCATTGCACTCCAGCCTGGGTAACAAGAGCGAAACTCCGTCTCAAAAAAAAAAAAAAAAAAAAAAATTTATCTTTCTCATGGAAGTGGAAGACAGTTTTCTCTTTTCTCTTAGTAATAACTTCAGGCTATGAAATGTGAAAATAAATATAGAAGTCAAAGAAGGAGCCAGGTGTGGTGGCTCACGCCTGTCATCCCACCACTTTGGGAGGCCAACGCAGGTGGATCACGAGGTCAGGAGCTGGAAACCACCCTGGCTAACATGGTTGAAACCGTCTCTATTAAAATTACAAAAAATTAGCCAGGCATGGTGGCACGCGCCTGTAGTCCCAGCTCCTCGGGAGGCTGAGGCAGAAGAATCACTTGAACCCAGGAGGTGGAGTTTGCAGTAAACCAAGATCACACTGCACTCCTGCCTCAGCGACAGAGCAAGACTCATCTCAAAAAAAAAAAAAAAAAAAAAAAGTCAAAGAAGGTAAAATGAATCAGCTGCTGCTGATCAGATGGAGGTTCTCCAGCTTTACTGGAAAATGAATAAAATAAACATATTTTAAAATAGCTTCATAACAAACTTGCATGTTCACTAAAATATCTCTAAACACTGGCATAGTGAGAAAAAAAAGCTGTACATTTAGTGGATTCAGACTGATGAGTCTAATGTTTACCCATTTCTTTTCTTTCTTTTTTTTTTTTTTTTGAGACGGAGTTTCACTCTTGTTACCCAGGCTGGAGTGCAATGGCACAATCTCGGCTCACCGCAACCTCCGCCTCCTGGGTTCAGGCAATTCTCCTGCCTCAGCCTCCTGAGTAGCTGGGATTACAGGCACGCGCCACCATGCCCAGCTAATTTTTTGTATTTTTAGTAGAGACGGGGTTTCACCATGTTGACCAGGATGGTCTCGATCTCTTGACCTCATGATCCACCTGCCTTGGCATCCCAAAGTGCTGGGATTACAGGCTTGAGCCACCGCGCCCAGCCCATGTTTACGCATTTCTATACTACCATTAATTCTGTAGTCACGTTAAGTAGTGAAATCAGTGAATATATTTTGAAATGACATTATTAGGCTGGGTAGGGTGGCTCACACCTGTAATCCCAGCACTTTGGGAGGCCAAGGTGGATGGAGCACCTGAGGTCAGGAGTTCGAGACCAGCCTGGCCAACATGGTGAAACCCTGTCTCTACTAAAAATACAAAAGTTAGCCAGGCATGGTGGTGTGCTCCTGTAATCCCAGCTACTTGTAAAGCAAGAGAATCATGTGAACCCAGTAGGCAGAGGTTGTAGTGAGTCAAGATCAAGCCACTGCACTCCAGCCTGGGTGACATAGGGAGACTTCATCTCCAAAACAAAACAAAACAAAACATGACATTATTAGAAAAACATACTCCAGACTTTATTTCTGCATATAAATCTAGGTCAATTAGTAAATATTACTATATGTTTTCCTCATTATGTCTCTTTAAACTTCCCCTGCTCTGGGTTAAAGTTAGAAGCAATAAACAAGAATATTTATGCAAAATCAAATAGTCTTCAAAAGCAAATTATTATTTTTAATTTTATTTTAAAAGAATACAAGAGGAAAACATAACCACAAGAAGTTTACTTACTAGGTATATTGCATGATTAATCACATAATAGCATTGGACTTTAAAACATTTAATTGGGTCATTTCAGAAATTAAACTAACAAATCTATTGAGATAGTAAACAAATATACTGTATGTGACCAATGAGCTAGGTAATGGGTTTTTTCCATTAGAGTCTAAAAATACACACTTAAAGATAAATTGGGAGGGGAATAGTCATATAAAACGTGTTCTTGCAAAAAACAATCATTTTCTTTTTTAAGAATGTTCTTATAAAAAAATCATTCAGGCATGGCAGCTCACACCTATATAATCCCAGCACTTTGGGAGGCGGGTGGATCACGAAGTCAAGAGATTGAGACCATCCTGGTCAACATGGTAAAACCCCATCTCTACTAAAAATACAAAAATTAGCTGGGCATGGTGGCACACGCCTGTAGTCCCAGCTACTCGGGAGGCTGAGGCAGGAGAATTGCTTGAACCCAGGAGGCGGAGGTTGCAGTGAGCCAAGATCGCACCATTGCACTCCAGCCTGGGTAACAAGAGTGAAACTCCATCTCAAAAAAAGAAAAAATAGGCCGGGCGCGGTGGCTCAAGCCTGTAATCCCAGCACTTTGGGAGGCCGAGGCGGGTGGATCACGAGGTCAAGAGATCGAGACCATCCTGGTCAACATGGTGAAACCCCGTCTCTACTAAAAATACTGAAAATTAGCTGGGCATGGTGGCGTGTCCCTGTCATCCCAGCTACTCGGGAGGCTGAGGCAGGAGAATTGCCTGAACCCAGGAGGCAGAGGTTGCGGTGAGCCGAGATCGCGCCATTGCACTCCAGCCTGGGCAACAAGAGCGAAACTCTGTCTCAAAAAAATAAAATAAAATAAAAATTCGCTTTGTAAGACTCTAATTAAACATGTTATCTTTGTGCCTATAAATACCTTTTATTTATAAAAGTACAACTTACACAAAAGTTTGCATAGATTTTCAAGTAAATCATGAAGTATACAAATCTCAACAATCATCTCTCAATAATTTATATTAGCAATGATCAAGGACCATACAAACAGGTAATCTATAAAAGACCTACAATATTATATTGTCCCGATTCTAAGATGTCATACATTTGAAGATATTACTTAATAGGTTATTCAAGGGGTTAAAAACAAAACAAAACAAAACACTGTCATATTGAATGCATACACTAATTTTAAAACATATCAATTTTAGTGGCATTGAATTGTAAGACCAAAAAGTACAACTTGAGCCGGGCGCGGTGGCTCACGCCTATAATCCCAGCACTTTGTGGGGCCAAGGAGGGAGGGTGGATCACGAGGTCAAGAGATCGAGACCATCCTGGTCAACATAGTGAAACCCGTCTCTACTTAAAATACAAAAAATTAGCTGGGCGTGGTGGCACATGCCTGTAATCCCAGCTACTCAGGAGGCTGAGGCAGGAGAATTGCCTGAACCCAGGAGGCGGAGGTTGAGGTGAGCCAAGATCGTGCCATTGTACTCCAGCCTGGGTAACAAGATTGAAACTCCATCTCAAAAAAAAAGTACAACTTGATAAATTCAGTATTTATTTTAGCTCATCTCTTCAACCTTATCCCTAAAGATAACTTTTCATATAATTTCATAATGGAAAAACAAAGCCAACATCTCTAGGTGGAAAAATGGCAAAGGTCAAAGAACTAGACAAATGAGATTATTAGTTCTGACAGGAAAGCTCTATGATGTCATTCAAGTTTCCTTTTGACTATCTTTTTTTTTTTTTTTTTTTTTTTTTGAGACAGAATTTCACTCTTGTTGCCCAGGCTGGAGTGCAGTGGCTTGGCTCACTGCCAACTGCTGCCTCCCTGGTTCAAGCGATTCTCTTGCCTCAGCCTCCCGACTAGCTGGGGTTACTGGTGCCCACCACAACGTCCAGCTAATTTTTTGTATTTTTAGTAGAGATGGGGTTTCACCACGTTAGCCAGGCTGGTCTCATGATTTCGCCCGCCTTAGCCTCCCAAAGTCCTGGGATTACAAGCATGAGCCACCTCGTCCGGCTGCTCCTTTTCACTATATTTTTAGCATCGTAAAGAAAAAGTCAAACTAAATGAAGGTGATTACACATCAACAACAACAAAAAAAGTCACCTGCTATTTCAGACCTCAGTCCAGTGATCTTCATATGAAATAGTAGGGCTACAAAAAGGCTTTCAAATATCCTTCCAGGCTATACATACCAATGTTAATACTGCTCTACTCAAGGTTGTCACTTCTTTCTTTGCTATAACACTGCTTTCAGAAAGCATAAATATAAACACCCTGCCCCTCTGCTGCATCAAGGAAGACATTTTTTAAAAGACCAGATGCCCAGACTATTTATTTGGACAATTAAGAGAATCCAAGCAAATGTGAATGGTAAGCAAGATGGGTCATGGAAAACACCTGGATACAAGTAAAATATACAGACTGTTTGGTCTAATTTTAACACAGCGAATACAAGATAATAGGAATTTTGTGGGGGAAGCAGAGAGTGGCAAATAAACATAAAACACTCTGAATGCCTGGCACAAAGACAGGTTTGCTATATGTATTATTATTACTAGCATTATAATAAATAAAATTTAATTACTCATCTGCTATTATATCCTTGCATCTAACAGAGTATGAACACAAATATTTAGGGAATTAATGTGTTAAATAAAGCAATATTTTAATAAAGTGCATTAATTGTCCCATATAAGATGTATTTAACTGCTTTTGACTTATATATAATTCTACAACCAAAAATCATTTATCATTTCATTTATTTACTTATTTTTTGAGATGGAGTCTCACTTCGTGGCCCAGGCTGGAGTGCAATGATGTGATTTCGGCTCACTGCAACCTCCGCCTCCTGGATTCAAGTGATTCTTCCACCTCAGCCTCTCAAGTAGCTGGGGGTACACTACACTACACTACTAGTAGTAGCTGGCCACTACACCCGGCTAATTTTTGTTTTTTGAGTTGGAGTCTCGCACTGTCGATAGGTTGGAATGTGATCTCGGCTCAATGCAACCTCCACCTCCTGGATTTAAGCGATTCTCCTGCCTTAGCCTTCCAAGTAGCTGGGACTACAGGAGCGTACCACCACGCCTAGCTAATTTTTCTATTTTTTTTTTTTTTTTTTTTTTAGTAGAGATGGGGTTTCACCATGTTGGTCAGGATGGTCTGGATCCCTTGACCTCGTGATCCGCCCACCTCAGCCACCCAAAGTGCTGGGATACACGCATGAGTTACCGTGCCCAGTCAATTATCGTATTTTTTTTTTTTTTTTTTTTTTTTTGAGACGGAGTTTCGCTCTTGTTACCCGGGCTGGAGTGCAATGGTGCCATCTCGGCTCACCTCAACCTCCGCCTCCTGGGCTCAGGCAATTCTCCTGCCTCAGCCTCCTGAGTAGCTGGGATTACAGGCACGTGCCACCACGCCCAGCTAATTTTTTGTATTTTAAGTAGAGACGGGGTTTCACTATGTTGACGAGGATGGTCTTGATCTCTTCACCTCGTGATCCACCTGCCTCAGCCTCCCAAAGTGCTGGGATTACAGGCTTGAGCCACCGCGCCCGGTTCAATTTTCGTATTTTTAAGAGAGACGGAGTTACACTGTGTTAGCCAGACTGGTCTCGAACTCCTAACCTCAAGTGATCCACTTACCTTGGCCTCCCAAAGTGCTGGAATTACAGACAAGAGCCACCGTGCCCGGCCCATTTAACATTTTATATCACATAAGTAAAACTTACAAAACGGTACAATCTTTTAAAATTGGCTCCACATCATATCTGCTTAAGTACAACCACAGTCTAAAATAATTTTTCATTTTGCTTGATGTATTAAAGACTTTCAGTATTAGCCGGGCGCGGTGGCTCAAGCCTGTAATCCCAGCACTTAGGGAGGCTGAGGCGGGTGGATCACAAGGTCAAGAGAGCGAGACCATCTTGGTCAACATGGTGAAACCCCATCTCTACTAAAAATACAAAAAATTAGCTGGGCATGGTGGCGCATGCCTGTAATCCCAGCTACTCAGGAGGCTGAGGCAGGAGAATTGCCTGAACCCAGGAGGCGGAGGTTGCGGTGAGCCAAGATCATGCCATTGCACTCCAGCCTGGGTAACAAAAGCGAAACTCCATCTCAAAAAAAAAAAAAAAAAAGACTTTCAGTATTGCAGTATTTATTTTTTTATACAGTGTTAACTTTTTAATGCTTTCACTTAATCATGAATGTGCTCATAGGAACATACAAGCTAGAGTATCAATCTATCCCCATAAATTTGCAATGAGTCAGAAAAGAAAAACATATTAAGAAATGTTGCCAGGCCGAGCGCGGTGGCTCACGCCTGTAATCCCAGCACTTTGGGAGGCCGAGGCGGGTGGATCACGAGGTCGAGAGATCGAGACCATCCTGGTCAACATGGTGAAACCCCGTCTCTACTAAAAATATAAAAAATTAGCTGGGCATGGTGGCACATGCCTGTAATCCCAGCTACTCAGGAGGCTGAGGCAGGAGAATTGCCTGAGCCCAGGAGGCGGAGGTTGCGGTGAGCCGAGATCGCGCCATTGCACTCCAGCCTGGGTAACAAGAGCGAAACTCCGTCTCAAAAAAAAAAAAAGACATGTTGCGAATGATAATATACTGTAAATACAGACAGAACCAAGGAAACAAATGGAATTACATTCTGTCCCACTACAAACAGCTTTGGTTTTGAAGCTGTTTTTAGTTAGAATGTCTTAAATTCAGACCAGCTTTAACACTGAAAACTCAAGAGGAGGCAAATATGAATCAAACCTGCATAAGGACAGGTCAGCAAGTCACAGGGCAGTAAACACTTCCTATGCTTAATGTTCAAAAACTGCTTTCCGTGAATTCTTTAAACTCCTTCCTCATACTCTTGGTTCAAAAAGGCCAGCGTCTAAATTAGATCAATTTACTATCAGATCTACAGCTCCACTCATCAGATACAAAGCTGTGTTTTCCACTAGAATGCAAAAATCTAATCGCTTCTCACCATGTATAGTTCCTGAAACTAGTAGGGGTTATCATGAAGTTACTATGCCATGAATATTCCTTGTATTATCACGATCCAGTAAGTTTCAGCTAACTTCCCATTTTTGTCTCATACCTGTCATTTTCTATAAATAAAATACTGCTGAATGAATTAACTATCTTAGCATTGGCCCTGAAGGGGGCATGGAAACCTTTCTTCGGCTCACCCACTTTCACACTCAAAGGCCTCCTGGCCTCAACATCTCCCAAAAAGATGCCTTTGCTCTTTGCCATTCCCCCCTAAACCGTAAGTGAACTTGGCTTTCTTCAGTTTCTGAGTGTTTACCCTTTCCCAATTCACCTTGCCATGTTTATCCCAAATCCCTGCCTCTTTATCCTCGTGGTCAATGTCCCCTCGCCCCCTGTGACCCTGGGTTTGTCAATTTCCACAGCCCTTTACAAAGCGCCTTCCAATGAGCGGCCCTCAGTACCTAAACCTGCATCTCGGAAACCAGACTACGCCCGCGACTTCACCGACAATCTGCTCAGGACCCTCCCTCCCAACCGCCCCCTACACAGCTTTCTCTCTGGCTACGGATTCCCAACTTTCAGCTCTACCTTTGCTTCCCAGTTAGGCCGACAAAACTTCGGAACATTAACTCAGCTCTCCTGAATTTCTCCGCAGCCCTCTCTCGGGCTCCGCGCTCCTCCCCGCCCTCCCCGCGAGGCGTAGGCCGCCAGCAGCTCCAGCCCGAACCTCTGGCGCCCCCGCCCCTCCTTCCCGAGATCACCGGCGGCCGTCGGCGCGCTGGACCCCGGGGCCATCACCTTCTTCCTCCGCCATCGTCTCTGCGGAGGCCGGGGCGCCCTCCGGCTCCCGCGCGGCCCGGAGACTCCCTCCCTCCGCGTAGCCGAACCCCTCGGCCACCCGGAGCCCGCTCCCGGCCACCGCGCCCCCACTTCCTGACCCGCCCCCCTCCGGTGTCGCCGCCAACAGCGTCCCCGCAGGCGGCCAGGGAACTAGAGTGCTGGGAGCGGGGGGCGGCCGGAGCGTTTCGCTGGGGCGCCGGGGCCTGCGCGGGCAGGAAGGAGACTCGATGCCGAGGGCGCCGCCCACGGCAGCAGCTCCCGGCCACCGCCTCCCCTGGGAAGCGAGACTGGTGGGTCTCGCTGCAGCCCCGCCCCTCGTCCTACTCTTCCCAAAAAGTGGGGGCTTGCTTTCCGCCACTTTTGTGACTGCGACTTGGCGAGTCAGAGACGATCATCAGTGACACCTCCCAGGTCCAGCCTCCGTTCCCGCCCATTTTGCACGGAGGAAACTGAGGTCTAGCTTGGTGGAAATCACAGAGCAGGTCAGAGGCAGAACTGGAACCCGGTCCTCCGTAACTGCCATCCCTGCCTGTGTTCTCGCTGGGATTTCAGAGTGCAGCAGCAAAACGTTCTCGGTTGGCGCTTTAGTTTAGTAGCCACTTGACCATTACAAGAAAGCCGTTTCTGCTTGAATTTTACTGTTTTAAAACACCCAAACTGGTTAAACAAATACGTTGCATTTCATGATATTCGGGGGGCGGGGAACAGTAATACTACGGTCTCGGGGAGAGCAGTATGCAGTTTGATACAGATATTCCACAGCAATAGGAAATAATTTTTAATGTGTTAAACTGTGTTTTAACTTTCATTGTATCTAACATTCTTCAACAAACACCGGGATCTTTTCCCCAACAGTACTCAGAAGTAAATTTAGGAAATGACAAAATACTTTTTTTTTTTTTTTTTTTTTTTTTGAGATGGAGTTTCGCTCTTGTTATCCAGGCTGGAGTGCAATGGCGCGATCTCGGCTCACCGCAACCTCCGCCTCCTGGGTTCAGGCAATTCTCCTGCCTCAGCCTCCTGAGTAGCTGGGATTACAGGCACGCGCCACCATGCCCAGCTAATTTTTTGTATTATAGTAGAGACGGGATTTCACCATGTTGACCAGGATGGTCTCGATCTCTTGACCTCGTGATCCACCTGCCTCAGCCTCCCAAAGTGCTGGGATTACAGGCTTGAGCCACCGCGCCCGGCCAAAATACCCATTTTAAATCGGGAGATGCAAGCACGAGAATTCACTGAAGTCATGGGGTAATTATGGACATCCCATTACTAGGAGGCAGTTCTAATAGCACCTTTAAGTAAGGATATTTGGGGAGAAGCTATCAGTTTTCAGTGATGTGCAGAAATAGTTCCAGGAAATTTTTTTTTTTTTTTTTTTTTTTTTTTTTTTTTTTTTTTTTTTTTGAGATGGAATCTTGCTCTGCCACCCAGGCCAAAGTGCAGTGGCAAGATCTAGGTTCACTCCAACCTCTATCTCCCAGGTTCAAGCGATTCTCATGCCTTGGCCTCCCCAGTATCTGGGATTACAGGTGCACGACACCACCTAATTTTTGCTGTTTTAATAGAGACAGGATTTCACCATGTTGGCCAGGCTAGTCTCCAACTCCTGGCCTCAAGTTATCCGCCTGCCCTGGCCTCTCAAAGTGCAGGGTTTACACAGGCAAGGCTAAGTTTTTGCATTTTTTTTTTTTTTTTTGAGACGGAGTTTCACTCTTGTTACCCAGGCTGGAGTGCAATGGCGCGATCTCGGCTCACCGCCACCTCCGCCTCCTGGGCTCAGGCAATTCTCCTGCCTCAGCCTCCTGAGTAGCTGGGATTACAGGCACGCACCACCCCACCCAGCTAGTTTTTTGTATTTTTAGTAGAGACGGGGTTTCACCATGTTGACCAGGATGGTCTCGATCTCTCGACCTCGTGATCCACCCGCCTCGGCCTCCCAAAGTGCTGGGATTACAGGTTTGAGCCACCGCGCCCGGCCAGTTTTTGCATTTTTAGTAGAGACGTCGGGGTGTGGTTTCACCATGTTGCCCAGGCTGTTCTTGAACTCCTGACCTCAAGTGATCCGCCCACCTCAGCCTCCCAAAATACTGAGATTACAGGTGTGAGCCACCGCGCTAGGCCTCCAGGAACTCTTTTTATGTTTGGGTCCCTGTAAAGATGTCTTTTGCCTTAAAACAACACTTCACCAGGAATTATAAACAGTGGACCAGAAAAGGCCTGGAGCCAGAGCCGAGATAGAACAGAATACAAGGACCCTGAAAGCCACAGAATATGGCAGGGCCCCTGGACATGGGCAACAGATACTTGAGTATCCTACTTATCAGATCAGCTGGCTGAAAGAGCTGCATCTCTTGGAAAATATACAGTGGCTATTGAGGTTGGCTGTTTTCTGTTTAGATGACTAATTAGATGACTAATGAACTAAATGTTAAGTTTGCCTGGCCTATACAAATAACGGGGCAAAGTAAAATGATAGAAAAAAATAGCTTCTTAGGCAGGGCATGGTGGCTCACGCCTGTAATCCCAACACTTTGGGTGGCCGAAGGGGGTGACCTGAGGTCAGGAGTTTGAGACCAGCCTGGCCAACGTGGTGAAACCCCGTCTCTACTAACAATACAAAAATTAGCTGGGCATGGTGGTACACCTGTAATCCCAGCTAATTGAGAGACTAGGGCAGTAGAATTGCTTGAACTTGGGAAGTGGAGGTTGCAGTGAGCCAAGATTGTGCCAGTGCATTCTAGCCTGGGCAACAGAGTGAGACTCTGTCTCAAAAATAAATAAATGCATAAAAATAGCTACTTAAAATAATGGAAATATAAAATAAGATAGCAATAATTATTCCCTAGTAGAAGCATTCTTCTCTTGAACCCTAAAAACCCATGTAAGAATAATGAGTGGAGTATGTTATTCTCAAACCGGTGTAATCTTACTGTGAGAAAAATAGGTGGTTGTTATTCAAAATGTATACTTCATTCAAAAAGAATAGAAGCTGAACTGCTCAAGACATTGCCTTGCAGCAGGCATTACAGCTGAGTTTTCAGTAGGTAATTTTGTAATTCCTAAGGCCAGCTGCTTCCAAATAGCTAGTGGACACAGGATCATAAGATGATTTCAGACGATATTCTGATTGTTTTACCATTACAAAACCGTGGGCTGCTAGTTTCTTATCCAAGATGTGAAGGAGCATTTCATTACCTTTGCCTCACCCTGACCAATCCTAAACAATCCACATTTTCCCAAATTGTCTTTTATTTATGAGCTATTCAAAGAGCAATATGATTTTCTGCCATTTTTAGATGTTTGAGAACCTCTTCACTATGCAGTGGATTTTTTTTTTTTTTTTTTTTTTTTTTTTGAGACGGAGTTTCGCTCTTGTTACCCAGGCTGGAGTGCAATGGCACGATCTCGGCTCACCGCAACCTCCGCCTCCTGGGTTCAGGCAATTCTCCTGCCTCAGCCTCCTGAGTAGCTGGGATTACAGGCACGTGCCACCATGCCCAGCTAATTTTTTGTATTTTTTTTAGTAGAGACGGGGTTTCACTATGTTGACCAGGATGGTCTTGATCTCTTGACCTCGTGATCCACCCACCTCGGCCTCCCAAAGTGCTGGGATTACAGGCTTGAGCCACCGCGCCTGGCCCTGCAGTGGATATTTTAAGGACATAATGCAAATGTAGTTTAGGAGGTTTTTATGGTAAACTGAGTAAGAAAATAAAGGCCTGGTATGAGGCAATGAAAATAAAAATGTTCAAAGAGAATGAATTTCAAAAGATGCTGGAAATAAAATCTACAGGGCCTGATGACAAATTGGATGTGATAAATGATAAGTTGAAGATGATTTCTGATGGTTCCATCTTGAAATTAATCATGTGCTTTCTGTGTGCCAAGGACAATGTGCTGCCAAGATATGAGAAAAATACAAAAGGCCGTAAAACTTCTCTACTTGAAACAACAACAACAACAAATACATGCAGTCTATTTTAAAAACATTCTTCTGAGACTGGTTGAGGTGACTCATGCCTGTAATCCCAGCTCTTTGGGAGGCCAAAATTGGCAGATCACAGGAGTTCAAGACCAGCCTGGGCAACATGACGAAACCCCATCTCTACAAAAAACACAAGAATTAGCTGGGCATGGTGCGTGCGCCTGCAGTCCCAGCTGCTCAGGAGGCTGCGGCAGGAGAATTGCTTGAACCCAGGGGGCGGAGGTTGCAGTGAGCCCAGATCACCCCACTGCACTCCAACCTAGGCAACAGAATGAGACTCCATCTCACTCTGGAAAAAAGCATTCTATTTAAATATTCTTGAATTGGATATATTAGACATCTTAGGACATCTTCTCTCCTCCCCTCTTTTTCCCTCCACTCCCCTCCCTTCTCCTCCTCTCCTCTCCTCTCTTCTTTTTTCTTTTCTTTTTTGAGACAGCGTCTCACTTTGTTGCCAAGACTGGAGTGTAGAGGTGCAATCATGGCTCACTGTAGTCTCAACTTCCCAGGCTCAGGTGATCCTCCCACCTTAGCCTCCCAAGTAGCTGGGACTACAGACACACGCCACCACACCTAGCTAATTTTTCTCGGTGTATGTGTGTGTGTATATATATATGTATATATATATATATTTTTTCCTGAATATATACATTCTGTGTGTGTATATATATAAAATACACATACTACTCTGTGCTGCTGGTAAACAAATGAGCTGTATTTATGCAATGTTAGGAAAAGGGCCAGAGTAGATGAAGGAGCAACTAGGAGAGTACTAACTACATCGACCAATCTTCAAGACTTCCTTTCTCTTCCAGATCCCTTCTTTTATGTTCTGTGAACTCTTGAGCAGGTTTTTCTTAAGCTTTAATATCCCAATGTATAAAATACTGCTACTAGTACCTACCTTATATGGCATGCTTTTTTTTTTTTTTTTTTTTTTTTTGAGACGGGTGTCTCACTTTGTCACCCAGGCAGCTGCCTTGGAGGCTGAGGCAGGAGAATTGCTTGAACCTGGGAGGCGGAGGTTACAGTGAGCCAAAATTGCACCACTTCACTGCAGCCTGGGTGACAGACTGAGACTTTGTCTCAAAACCACCACCACCACCACCAACAAAACCCACAAAAATTAGCTGGGATGGTGGCACATGCCTGTAGCCTCCCAGCTACTTGGGATGCTGGGGTGGGAGAATCACCTGAGCCTGGGAAATTGAGGCTACAGTGAGCCATGATTGTACCACTGCACTCTGTACTTCAGCCTAGGCAACAGAGCTAGACCTCCCCCCACCAAAAAAAGAAAAAAGAAAAAGGAATGCCACAAAAGCTACCATGGCAAAACTGGATGAGTCTGTAATGTTACCCAACACGCTGTTGGTGTTGTTGTAAACAAATAAGGATAAGATTCTTGGGCCGGGCGCGGTGGCTCAAGCCTGTAATCCCAGCACCTTGGGAGGCCGAGGCGGGTGGATCACGAGGTCAAGAGATCGAGACCATCCTGGTCAACATGGTGAAACCCCGTCTCTACTAAAAATACAAAAAATTAGCTGGGCATGGTGGCACGTGCCTGTAATCCCAGCTACTCAGGAGGCTGAGGCAGGAGAATTGCCTGAACCCAGGAGGCGGAGGTTGCGGTGAGCCGAGATGGCGCCATTGCACTCCAGCCTGGGTAACAAGAGCGAAACTCCGTCTCAAAAAAAAAAAAAAAAAAGATTCTTGCCAATAGACTTAATGTGTGTAGTGAGCCTATTAACCACCCTCAGAGCCAAGATAGCCTTCTGAAATGTGTGAAGAAAAAGAAGGAAGCCGAGGAAAAGGGTACCTGGGTTCAACTGAAGAGCTAGCCTGCTCCACGCAGACCAGCACAGTGTGAGAACCAATGGAAAGGAGCCTGGGCTGCTGGAACCGATGTGAAATAGTGGGACCTCTAGACTGCTAAGAAAAATACATGGAGGCCGGGCGCGGTGGCTCAAGCCTGTAATCCCAGCACTTTGGGAGCCCGAGGCGGGTGGATCACGAAGTCAAGAGATCGAGACCATCCTGGTCAACAAGGTGAAACCCCGTCTCTACTAAAAATACAAAAAATTAGCTGGGCATGGTGGCGCGTGCCTGTAATCCCAGCTACTCAGGAGGTTGAGGCAGGAGAATTGCCTGAACCCAGGAGGCGGAGGTTGCGGTGAGCTGAGATCGCGCCATTGCACTCCAGCCTGGGTAACAAGAGTGAAACTCCGTCTCAAAAAAAAAAAAAAAAAAGAAAAATACATGGATATTTATGTTCATTCTGCTGGGCGCTGTGGCTCACGCCTGTAATCCCAGCTCTTAGGGAGGCAGAGGCGGGAGGATAGCTTGAGCCCAGGAGTTTGAGACCTGCTTGGGCAGTATAGCGAGACCCCGTTCTCCACAAAAAGGAAAAAAACAAAAAGACAAAAAATAATGATAATAAAAAATAAGTGTAATGTTCATTCTATCTACTTTGGTATAAGTTCCCCCCTTCCCGGCCCCTGAGAGCTGGAGGATGCAGGGAGAGGAAGACTATACACATAAGGTAGAACTTTAAGGTTCTTCCATGTATCCCAGTCCTCCTTTCCCTCATTCTCCCTTCCTTCCCCATCGCTCTTGCTCCACTTCTTTCTGCCAGTTTTCTTCTCTGCATGAAGACAACAGCTGTGTGCTATACCAAGATGAATAACACTAGCTTTGCCCAGACAACTTTGATTCTACTAAAGGCAGGTAACAGCTTGAACATTAACTACCTACGAGATAATACGGCAAGGAAAAACTTGGATGAGAACTCCAGCTTGTCTAGAGAACGTTGCCATATGTGCTGGCAAAGACCAAAAGTATCAATATTAAATGGCTTCATTTTTGTTTTGGAGATGGAGTTTCATTCTTGTTGCCCAGGCTGGAGTGCAGTGGTGTGATCTTGGCTCACTGCAACTTCCACCTCCCGGGTTCAAGTGAATCTCCTGCATCAGCCTCCCGAATAGCTGGGATTACAGGCATGCGCCACCACGACCACCTAATCTTTTTGTTCTTTTAGTAGAGACAGGGTTTCTCCATGTTTGTCAGGCTGGTCTCAAACTCCTGACCTCAGGTGACTCGCCCACCTTGGCCTCCCAAAGTGCTGGAATTATAGGTATGAGCCACCATGCCCAGCCAAATGTTTTTTTTTGTTTGTTTTTTTGAGAGACAGGGTTTCACCATGTTGGCCAGGTTGGTCTCGATCTCTTGACTTCGTGATCCACCCGCCTTGGGCTCCCAAAGTGTTGGAATTACAGGCGTGAGCCACCACACCCAGACAGATGGCTTCATTTTTATAAGGTAATGTTGGTAAGGACCAGGACTGGAAAACTTCCCTGGCTTAACTAAGCTAAGCTACACTCAATGATATGTTTATGAAGAACATACTGGGTGAACAGAAGTGCAGATATTTGATGTAAATGTTACGAAGTAAAAAAAAGTGCTGGACATTAAGGAAAATATAGATTCAGCATAATCCCTGCTCTTGGGGTTATAATCTAATTTTAGAACTGATACACTAACAAGAGTTTGTATGTCAAGTGATACTGTTAATATATGTGGCTATAAAATGTTCGAAGTTAGGCTAGACTTTGCCTGATTTTTAAAGAATGGGTAGAATATGTGACTATTCTAAGAATTTCAAAGTTTCACCGGGCGCGGTGGCTCAAGCCTGTAATCCCAGCACTTTGGGAGGCCGAGGCGGGTGGATCACGAGGTCGAGAGATCGAGACCATCCTGGTCAACATGGTGAAACCCCGTCTCTACTAAAAATACAAAAAACTAGCTGGGCAATGGTGGCGCATGCCTGTAATCCCAGCTACTCAGGAGGCTGAGGCAGAATTGCCTGAGCCCAGGAGGTGGAGGTTGCGGTGAGCTGAGATGGCGCCATTGCACTCCAGCCTGGGTAACAAGAGCGAAACTCCGTCTCAAAAAAAAAAAAAAAAAAAAAAAAAAGAATTTCAAAGTTTCAATGATTTGTGCTCTAAGGATAGCTGTTTGACCATTATCTTGAGTACATCTATTATTTTTTGAGACAAGAGTCTTGCTCTGCTGCCCAGGCTGGAATACAGTGACCTAATCTCAGCTCACTGCAACCTTCACCTCCTGGGTTCAAGTGATTCTTCTGCCTCAGCCTCCCGAGAAGCTGAGATTACAGGTGTGCACCACCATGCCTGGCTAGGTTTTTTTGGATTTTTAGTGGAGATGAGATTTCGCTATGTTGGCCAGGCTGGTCTCAAACTCTTGATCTCAAGTGATGCGTCCACCTCAGCCTCCCAAAATGTTGGGATTACAGGTATGAGCCACTGTGCCTGGCCATCTTGAATACATTTATCACTGATAGCTTTTATATGTAAGTTTAGAGAAAAACCCTACCACCACCCCAAGAAGAGATGGCTTATTTATGTGCTTCTACCAGTACCATAATTCTAATCACAAAACAAAAATCACAAACATTGAGATTAAACAGGCATGTTTTATTATCAAATGTTAACTCTACAAAAACTCAGTAGTAATGTAGTAAGCATTACTGCCTATCTTAAGTCTTTCAGAGCTTTGGACACACAATGTCTTAAGGCATCAAGTATACAGAAATTTCTTTTCGATCTTAAGTGCCAGTTATCACCAATTTTCACATAAACCTTTTTTTTTTTTTTTCCTATTGCAGTTAAAGGGCCATTGCCAGTCAGCTGAAGAGGGAAATGTTTGCTTCTCCCTTTAAGGTGTTACTCAAAGTAATGCAAAGAAAATAAAAATAGCAGCCACATAAATCTCTATGGCATTGCATTCAAGCAAAGGACAATATAAGTAACTTAAAGAAATATCCACATTCAATGCACTTAATGAAATCCTGTTTTCTTTGGAGTTACATGAGGCAGCAGTACTAGCTAGCTAGTGTCTAATATTGCACTTTTGTAGCATAAACACAGCTAAACACAGTGTTAAACACTGACAGCATTAGTACTTGTTCTAACTGCATCAGTGTTTACCTCTCAGTCTAGCATGCTGACTATAGTCCTATGCTTTAAAAGGTTATAATTATTTGACAGTTAAGGCATTAGAGAAAAAGATTTAAGGCTCTCATAATATATACAAGCATTCACTTCTGTTCAGTTAGTATACTGTTTTCTAGAATACACGGTTCACATAGTCTCACTTCTGTGATATTAAAAACTATGGAATTTCTCTTATTAAAGTCCAAACCATCAATGACAAAAGTACAATATAAAATAATGCATATGAAGCCACAATATTCAGTTACAGTTCAAACTAGAAATTACTAAACACATGTAGCTGCTTCATTTTTGGTTTTGCATTTTGGCCCCTAGTTCATTATTTACAACTGATACCTGCTGAGAAAAAGATCCACACTTTTAAACTGTGTTTTGTGGAGGGTGCACCATTTTTTCTAAAGTATCTTAAGGTGTTTTAAAATTATTTAACTATAAGATCATCATGGCCAAAAGACTTAGAAAATAACAATTTTACTCTTTTTCCTAAGCTTATGATTTTAGTATTCCAAGACCTTATGCTTGAATTACTTAGCAAGAGGGCATGATTATGCAGAAGACAGGAAAATAGAGAGAAAGGAGTGGGAATATACAAAAGCTTCCTTAACAGAGTTCATGGTGGAGATGGTTGACACTGGTGGAGTTTTTATCCAAGACTTAAAACTTAGGAAACACCTACGATGCCACTTTAGCTGGAAATAATAGAGACGTCTGATTTCAAATTCACATTTTAAATGCCTATTTGCAATCGGCAAAGAGCCAGGTATGCTGCATGCTGTTTGCTGTAAGGATTTGGCTTCACTGGTTCAAATTTTTTCACTCCACCAAAAGATAAGGCACAGGCCTGCTCGTCCAATCAAGTTTGCTGAAAATACTGCAGCCTGAGTGTAGACAAACTTCCCCTGAATTTGCTAGAAGTTTTCTTGCATCTGGCAGTTTCAAGATCCCCATACATCTTTCAAACACTGGAAAAAAACAAATGAATAAAAGGAAATGTTATAGTCTCTAAATGTCACTCTTAGCAGTCACAAAAACGATTTTAAATTCTACAAGGATAAAAAAAGCTTTAAGATGACCCAAGCTGTTATTTCACACAGACATAGTTGGCATTTACACGGCAAGGGCTTGGGGAGTATAGCACTAGCCCAGAGAGTTTCCATGGTTTATGCAGTTGCTGGCATTCAGCACCACCCCTACCCTTTGTAGTATTATGTGTTTAGTTTACCATGCATGGTTTCCAACTCCCTGCTTGGCTCAGCTCCTTTCTGGAGAGAATATTTCACTCATTCCTTAGAGGTTCAATATTATTACCAAAATAAACAAAACCATTTAGACAAAATTTTAAAGTTAAATTCTAGTATAAGAAATCCCACAGGAGGCTGAGGCAGGAGAATTGCCTGAACCCAGGAGGCAGAGGTTGCGGTGAGCCAAGGTCACGCCATTGCACTCCAGCCTGGGTAACAAGAGAGAAACTCCGTCTCAAAAAAAAAAAAAAAAAAGAAAAGAAATAAATTCCAGGCCGGGTGTGGTGGCTCATGCCTGTAATCTCCAGCACTGTGGGAGCCTGAGGTGGGCGGATCACAAGGTCAGGAGTTCAAGACCAGCCTGGCCAACATGGCGAAAGCCCATCTCTGCTAAAAATAGAAATATTAGCTGGGCATGGTGGAGTGTGCCTGTAATCCCAGCTACTAGGGAGGCTGAGGCAGGAGAACTGCTTGACTTGGGAGGCGGAGGTTGCGCCACTGCACTCCAGCCCAGCCTACAGAGCGAGACTCTGTCTCCAGAAAAAAAAAAAAAAATCCAAATAATTTCTAGGACACTTAATAAGTAGCAATAAGGGGCTGGGTATGGTGGCTCATGCCTGTAATCCCAGCACTTTGGGAGGCTGAAGCAGGAGGATGAGGATCACCTGAGGTCAGGAATCTGAGACCAGCCTGGCCAACATGGTGAAACCCCGTCTTTACTAAAAATACAAAAATTATGGCTGGGTGGGTGGCTCACACCTGTAATCCCAGCATTTTAGGAAGCTGAGGCAGGCGGATCACAAGGTCAGGAGTTCGAGTCCAGCCTGACCAACATGGTGAAACCCCCTCTCTACGAATACAAAAATTAGTTGGATGTAGTAGTGTCTGCCTATAATCCCAGTTACTCAGGAGGCTGAGGCAGGAGAATCTCTTGAACCCAGGAGGCAAAGGCTGTGGTGAGCTGAGATCATGCCACTGCACTCCAGCCTGGGTGACAGAGCAAGACTGCATGTCAAAAAACAAAACAAAACAAAACAAAACAAACAAAAACTAGCTGGGCATGGTGGCAGGCGCCTATAGTCCCAGCTACTCGGTAGGCTAAGGCAGGAGAATTGCTTGAACCTAGGAGGTGGAGGTTGCAGTGAGCCAAGATCGTGCCATTGCACTCTAGCCTAGGTAACAGAGCAAGACTCCCTCTTTCAAAAAAAAAAAAAGCAGTAAGGCATGACATAACAGCAAACATATGGGCTCTTTGTGTCCGTTACTGATGATTAGCAGCTTTATATGTGTCATATATCAATTTATTTCATCCCCACATATACACATACAACCTTTTATGTTAGCTTTTTGTTCCCATTTTAGAGAAGGAAAAACTGAAGCAGAATGATTTAGTAATAGGCAGATGCACTATTTGAACTAATACTGATTAGTTCCACTATGCTATTTTACTTATATACCACACAACCTTAACATGAAACTCTTAGTAGGCATTACATATTTATTTTTTTTGAAAGAGGGTGCAGTTCCATCACCTACAATGGAATATGGAGTGATGTGGTGCAATCACAGTTCACTGCTGTTTTTTTTTTTTCTTTTTTTTTGAGACGGAATTTCACTCTCGTTACCCAGGCTGGAGTGCAATGGGATTATAGGCATGCACCACGATACCCAGCAAATTTTTTGTATTTTTAGTAGAGATGGGGTTTCACCATGTTGACCAGGATGGTCTCGATCTCTTGACCTTGTGATCCACCCGCCTCGGCCTACCAAAGTGCTGGGATTACAGGCTTGAGCCACCGTGCCCGGCTTTTTTTTTTTTTTTTTTTTAAAGACAGTTTCGCTCTTGTTACCCAGGCTGGAGTGCAGTGGCGCGATCTTGGCTCACCGCAGCCTCCGCCTCCTGGGTTCAAGCAATTCTGCCTCAGCCTCCCAAGTAGCTGGGACTACAGGCGCGGGCCACCATGCCCAGCTAATTTTTGTATTTTTAGTAGAGACGGGGTTTCACCTTGTTGACCAGAATGGTCTCGATCTCTTGACTTCATGATCCACCCGCCTCGGCCTCCCAAAGTGCTGGGATTATAGGCTTGAGCCACCGCGCCCGGCCTGAAGTTTGTTTTTTTTTAAGAGCTGGGTTGTCACATCGTGGCCCAGGCTGTAGTGCAGTGGTGTGATCAGAGCTCGATGCTGCCTCAAATTCCTGGGCTCCAGGTATCCTCCACCTCAGCCTCCTGAACAACTGAGCCCACAGGCATACCAGTATACACAGCTAATTTTCAAATTGTTTGCAAAGACAGATTCTCACCATCTTGACCAGGCTGGTCTCAAACTCCAAGCCTTGAGCAATCCTCCTGCCTTGACCTCTCAAAGTGCTGAGATTATAGGTGCTTCGGACAGCACCTGGCCCTAGGGTAAATTATCATTACTTTTTTTTAAAGAGATGGGGTCTCCCTACGTTGTCCAGGCTAGTCTCGATCTCAGCCTCAAGTGATCCTCTTGCCTGGCATTCTAAAGTGCTGGGATAACATGTGTGAGCCACCCCCACGCCATTATGCATACTTTGACATGCAAATGAAAAACAGGAATGTGTTTGCTTTAATAACACAGAGTCTACAAATGGTACAGACTTAAAATCAGGTATATAAAAAACACAGATATACTAGTTAGGATGCATCTTTTAAATGTGGTTTCCAAAGTGACCACAATTTGAGACTCAGCTTAAAACACCACACACTGAAAGGCTTCTCCTTTGATACTAAATGCAGATAAGAAAAATCAATGACCCAACACTATTGATCAATATCTACTTTACCCTTCTTTTGGCAGTAGCACCTGAATTTAAAACAACTGCCTATCACCCAATCTCAAGCCCCTAAGAGGCAGTTTTACCACTAAGCCAAACAAGTGGCCCAGGCATGGCCAGTTAGAGTCCTGCATATCCCAGGGCACTGTGGTTTCAGGGATGGATGTAAACCAGGTCAGTGAAAGGCCAGTGTTGCTAGGAGTATCTCACGGAGAGAGCCTGGATGAGCAAACCCGTGAATCCAGCTACATCAGTCAACCCTAGGACTGTCAGTTATTAGAGTCAATGAGCACCACCTTCTTCATTCCTAGCACATTTATACCAGGAAATAGCATCTTTGCATATGCTGAAAATTAAACCTTAATATTCTGATAAAATGTAGAAATGATGGGAAAAGTTAAATATTTAGCCTTTCCGCACTGCTTTTTAATCCCAGTGGTATCCAATGGAGTTTGAATGTATAACAATGAAATCGCAGACTCCTAACTGCTAGCAAAAAATAAAAATTAAAATTAAAAAAAAAATCAATCTTAGAAGGATATAGAGAAAATATTTCCTCTTTCCATTAAGCTATAGAAAACAGTTATAAAGATAGTTGAGAATTACAACTGCAGACATTTACAAATCGGCCTTCCTTTTTAAATAAGATCTGTGTTAAAACATGTTTCATTGGCCAGGTGCGGTGGCTCAAGCCTGTAATCCCAGCACTTTGGGAGGCCGAGGCGGGTGAATCACGAGGTTAAGAGATCGAGACCATCCTGGTCAACATGGTGAAACCCCGTCTTTACTAAAAATACAAAAAAAAGATTAGCTGGGCATGGTGGCACGTGCCTGTAATCCCAGCTACTCAGGAGGCTGAGGCAGGAGAATTGCCTAACCCAGGAGGCGGAGGTTGCAGTGAGCCGAGATGGCGCCATTGCACTCCAGCCTGGGTAATGAGCGAAACTCTGTCTCAAAAAAAAAAAAAAAAAAAAAAAAGTTTTATTTTGTTATACACTGCCATTAAAGTATTACATACAAAGATGTCTTGGGCCGGGCGCGGTGGCTCAAGCCTGTAATCCCAGCACTTTGGGAGGCTGAGGCGGGCAGATCACGAGGTCGAGAGATCAAGACCATCCTGGTCAACATGGTGAAACCCCGTCTCTACTAAAAATACAAAAAATTAGCTGGGCGTGGTGGCACGTGCCTGTAATCCTAGCTACTCAGGAGGCTGAGGCAGGAGAATTGCCTGAACCCAGGAGGCGGAGGTTGCGGTGAGCCGAGATCATGCCATTGCACTCCAGCCTGGGTAACAAGAGCGAAACTCTATCTCAAAAAAAACCAAAAAAACACAAAGATGTCTTTAAAGATAATCTGGATTTCATCACTGGTGCTATATGCTACAGAATGAACCTATAATCCCTTAAAAACCCTGCAATTCTGCAGTCAGGCATGGTGGAGAGCAGTTGTAATCTCAGCTACTGGGGAGGCTGAGGTGAAAGGATCACTTGAGTCCAGGAATTCAAGATCAGCTTGGGCAACAAAGTGATACCGTCATGTCTCAAAATAAACCAACAAAAAACAACAACAAAAAAACCCCTGACTAGTTGTAGTATTTTATTTTCTTCTAGTAGCTTTGACATGTTTTCGGAAAAGTCATTTATGATTTTTCCTTGTTAGGCCAGAGAAGCATTTTCTCCCTTATGTGTAAGATAAAATAAAACCCGTAACTCAAGATTCTTCATTTTTTTGAGACCAAGTTTTGCTTTTGTTGCCCAGGAGTGCAGTGGTGCAATCTCGGCTCACTGCAACCTCCGCTCCCCAGGTTTAAGCAATTCTCCCGTCTTAGCTTCCTGAGTAGCTGGGATCACAGGTGCCCACCACTACACCAGGCTAATTTTTCTATTTTTTAGTAGAGATGGGGTTTCACCATGTTGGCCAA